CGGTTCGCGCACCGTTTTTTATCCGGCGCGCGGACTTTATGCGTCCGGGCACAGACGACCGCCTTGAAAAAAAAAAAACACGCTCCGGCGAATGTTACAACGACATAAGTGTGCGTGTACGGCAATTTTTTTTTTCTTCATTGTTTCGCGCGGAGAACACAATTTTATTTGTTTTCTCCGTTACGACCGCGAGCGGGGGAAAATTCGACTCCTGCGTTGTTGCATAGTGACGGAGCTCTGGCCGCTCGCGGGTTTTTTTTTTTTTTTATTATTATTGTTATTATTTTTATTTTTTTATCGTTATAATAATAAAATCGTGTACGCGGGTCCGCTGTCGCGCGGATTACAAACGAGCGGATCCGCGCGACATATTTATTCGCCCGGACGCCGCCGAGCGGCGCGCCCATAAATCGACGGGCGAGACGACGGCGCGAAAATCGTCGCCGATAACAAAAAAAAACGGGTTCTCTCTTGCACGCGATCGCCTTGCATTGTCGTTATCGTTAACATTGTCGTCGTCGGTTGTTGTTGCGGCGCGGCGCGCGAGGGCCGTCCGTCCCGTTCTCCGTCACCGCGCGGCTGAACAACACCCCGGGCCCGGGTCGACGCGAGCGCGCCGGACGCGATCGCTCGCGGACCGGGCGACGGTATTTCCCGCGCGGCCGTTTTCTCGGCGTCGCGAGTGAACCGCGCGACGCGCCCGTGCGGCGGCCGGGTTCGGCGCGAACAACGTGACGCGTGCGCACACGGCGGCGCGCGGTCGCCAAAACACAATCCCCGAACGCGGGCCCTCGCGCGTCCGCTCGCCCGGAATGAACGAGTGTGTGTGTGTGTGTGACGCGGAAAACGCCCCGGAAAAAACAGGCCCCGAGGCCCCCCCCCCTCGTCCCGCGGTGCTGCTTTTATCGATCCGTGACGGAGTCGTTGTTATTTTAATTATTATATTTTTCTCGTTTCTCCGTACGCCCGCAAACGCGTTTTACGACCGGGAGTCTTTCTCCGGCGAAAACTCGAAATGGATTTCGAAATACCGTCTGGTCAACGGCGGCGGCGGCGGCGGCGGCGGCGGCGGCGGTTTTCGCAATAAAAAAAAACCGTTCGCAGGGGCCCGAATACTCACGTCCGGACGCACTTCAACGTGAAATCGGCGTTTTATAGACGAGGCGAAATCGTTTGCGCGTTCGCTGATTATTCGGCCGCAACGTGAAATATTCGAGTCTTGTCGGTTCCGTGAAAGTACGCTGTAATTCGTCGACCTATTCAGTTCGGTTTTACGCGCTGAAATCCGTTGTAATTTCGCGACGTTTTCGAAATTCACCGCGCAGCAATATTATCGGGCGCGTTTCGGCGAATGAATTGGCCAAACGTATCGTGGCCACTGTGTATTTTGTGCACTGGCCGTTTTCCTCGATTTCGGTCATCGCTTTAGGTTACTGAAATACCGTAACCAAACGAAACGGACGGTCACGCGGCGTCTGGCCGTTGAAAAAGTAATGATTGGATAAATGTCCGGCCGGCGCTTTTCCGGTTATCAATTATTTGTATGTTATTTGTAAGCCCGGTAAACACGTCGTTTTCGCGAACAACACGAACCGCTAACCGAAATCGCACAACCGTAACTGACCGCAACGAACACCGTAACCCCGGGCCGACCGCCGAAACGCCCGTTTCGTTACGGCGGGCGCCGCGTTATGCGGACGTGTTCGACCGGACTTCGAGTCGTCCGCCGGACGTAAATTATGTCGGCTCGCCAGCGCCTTCGCGACTTCCCGCCGCGACAACGCGGCCCGCCCATGGTGCGGCTACGGTAATGGGTACGTGGGTTATTTTATTTTTTTCGCGGGTAAAAAGAGATAGCGAAATAAGAATAAGAACGGGAAAAAAAAAAATACCGGATTGTCCGCGCGCATATACCGGGTGTGCTGTTAAAACGGGCGCCTGTCGCCCCGTGGGACTCGCCGGACGTGTCGTCGCGCGCGGTATACATTATCGGCGTCGCGTCGCCGCGGCGGCGGTCGCGCGTTTACCAGAGCGCGACCGCCGGAGTGAGAAACGCATAAAGCGAAACTCGACACCGGGCGAAAAACCGTACACGGCTGTATGCGTAATACGTATACGTATGTACACGCGTGTATAACGTGCCGCGAACGGGGAGAGAGACGACGTTGTGTGCACGCGTACTTTACCGTCGCCGCCGAGCCATCGGTACACACACACACACACACACAGACGCACATATGTATAAGGGCGGGGTAGGGGTTAATGACGTACGGCGGGAGTAGGGGAAAACGTTTCCGATCGAATTAACGTCGACCGCAGACGGACGCGGCCGGGCCGCCGCCGCCCGTCCGCTCCTCGGACCGCCCCTCGCGCTCTACAGGGTGTGCGACAAGTACCGCACGGCACCGCACACAATAGTGCGAGCGTTGTTATTATCGAAACACGACGCGATGTTATAATATCGTTATGTCATTCGCGCGCCGCCCCCTCACCGGTACGGCGAGTTAATAACGTTATTGTTCCCGCGGGCGGCGCCCCGGCACCCCGAGAGGCCGATTGTTACCGCGTCGTCGCCACTTAATCGACGGCGTGCCGACGCGGTACGCGCGACTACTACTCGATATCGCGCCGTCTCAATTGCTCCGTTACCGCGGGGGACCGTCGACGTGCGCCGTCAGAACCGCGGGCCCGCGTCGAGTGACGGGCGGCCGAATTTTCGTGCGGGCCCGCCGTGTCGCAGACGAGACGGCGTCGGTGACGGTTTACGCGTAAAAACGAAATTACAACGTCGGGAGCGCGGTACAATTTGTCATAATTATATCGTCGTGCACATCCGCGATCGGTAGCCACATCAGGACGTATACGGAATTATTAATAAAAAAAAAAAAAAAAATCGCGAAAACAACGTATCTGCGGAGAGGTGGCCGGTGGGCCCGCGGGTCTCCGCCGGGTCCGCGCCTGGTTTCGACGCGACATTAGTCGGATTTCGCGTCGATTCGGACGGCGACTGACGGGGTCGTGTCCACGTTTATTCCGCGTAATGGTTCGTCTGCGCTGTCGATGTCCCCGCCTTTATCCGCCAGTGCCGTTCCGTCTTCGCGGACGCGTCTCGGGACGTACCCGAATCGGTCGCCGGGCCTACACACGCCTGTCCGCGCAAACCCCCGAGTCCGCGTACGGTTCGTGCGCACCGGATCGCGCGTGTTTAATCGTCTCCCGTTGTCCACGTCGGTTGACAATTATCGGCGCCCGGCCGTTATCGGCGTACAACAATGATAACAATGCGCCGTCGGCGACCGCGGCCCGCGACGTTCCGACAGCCGTTCCGACGGCCGTCGTGTGCGTTTCGCGTGAAATCCGATACGGCGGACTGTGGCGGCCCGTATTTCAACGCGAATAAATCACCGCGGACGAAACACGGCGGGCCCGAACGCCGCGGCCGTATTGCGAATGAGAACATTGAGTAAGAGTAAAAAAAAAAACGAAAAAAAAAAACGAAAAAAAAAAACGAAAAAAAAAAAACGAAACGTATCCTGCGCGTTCCGCGGGAACGATCGTACCGTACACCCGGTATACCGGATCGAACGATTTTTTCTTCGGTTTTTTTTCTTTTTTCTTTCAACGATCGAAACAGCAAAGACATTATTAAAAGACAGTTTCGAATGTCGTATCGCGTACGTATTTTGTACACTCGCGTATTTATACCGCCCCGTGCACTGCACAGCAGCAACGACTGACGCGACTAGTAGATAACACGCAAACAGAATAAAAAAAAAAAAAAAGGCGGGGGGAAAGCATTTTATTTCGCATTTAACTGTCGAAACAAGGTGTGAAAAGCGTTTTCAAATTTGTTCGGGTAATTGAACTCGGCGTGACGCGACATAAATTTCCGTACCACTCGATTTAACGACCGGTCGAAAACAGATATTACGCGAATGTTAAAAGCGCCGCCGAACCCCAGCGGTTGTCATCGCTCATCATTGTCATCCCTCGCCCGGGCGGTAATCGAACTTAACACGAATTCCACCGAGAGAGCCTCTGGATTGCGATAAAAAAAAAAAAAAAAAAAAAAAAAAAACAAAAAACCCCCCAACACGCCGGAGCGAATCTGCAAAACTGCCGGTTTCGTCAGAAAATTTAATTTCCAATTGTAATTATTACAGCGACGGCATTGTCAGTGGCGTTTTTACGAGGGGAGAGTGGCGGTTTGAGAGACACGTCTCCGCCCGTGGCCATTTCGGCGTCTTTTATTTTCGCGACGGTCCGTATTCCGGTTCGAACATTTTCGTCGCCCTTCGGAAATAAACGGCTTTACGCGATACGATGTTACCCGTGTAATACGGTCGACGCGTCGGAAAACCTGAACGTGCGCGTGTCGATCGCGAGCGGAGCGATGATTGTGTTTGTATGCTCAAAGCGAGATACAAAGCGGAAAGAATAATTACCGAACGGTCGCTCGCCACTAACAGTAATTTTCGATATCGACGATACGTTTTGGTGCGCGGACTGAATAACTTGACGTTTTTGTTTTTTTTTTCGGAATATATTTGGAATCCGAAACGTCGCGAAAAACTAGCCGTCCCTCGCGCATCGCCTCGTCGTCCTTACGCGCACTAATAAGACGAGCGGTTTTTTTTTGACCGTGTACTGCCCGTATGCGCGCGTGGCCACTGAAAAAGGGAATCCGATTCCCGCGGATCGACGACGCGCGCGCGAACGGTCCGCGGAATTACGCGGTGGACAAATGGTTTAAAAGCGGAGGAGAGAGAAACGTGCGCGTACGTGCGTTTTGATTATCCGTCCGTAAATTCGCGTGCGCGACACATCACGGCCGGCTGTCGTGACGCTGGTTTTTTTTTTTTTTAAATTATAATATATTTTTTTTATTTTCCTTTTTTACCCGATTTTCGCGACAAATGTCCGCAGCTGCGTGCGTCTACACACGCGCGCACCGGTAACGCAATATACGCATTGTTATAATATTTCGCCTCCGTTACAGGATGTCCGGCAGTCGGAGTCCCACCGGCATGGGCGACGGATGCGAGAAAATGGTCGGCCCGCCCTCGAATTTGGACTCGAGTTCGTCCGAGTCGATCGACGGCGACATGAAGTCGCACATACACCTGCTGCACAAGCCCAGCGCCATATCCTTCGGACACACGATGATCACCGGCCAGGTAATTGTCACGATATATTTATTCGTATTCAGACTACTGCGGTCATTCATTTTTATGCGAGTTGGTCCGTTCGAGTGGGTACGCTCATTATCCCGGTGGGCTCATTATCCCGTTAACTTTGCTCGGAATTCGTTTTCCGGAACATTCAGGAAACAACGGGCGGATCCACAGTTATCGCACGTTAAATTTTTTGTCGCCCTTTTTTTGGGGGGGAGGGAGGAGGGGGAAATACTGCCTACTTTTGATTTTCAAACGGCGACGCCTAAATGGATGGAGTTAAAAAAAATACATTTTAGCGTTGACGCTTTTGATCTCCGTCGATTGTTTGATGTTCACGAGATATTCCACTATTATGTTTGGGTTGCGGGAGGAGAGTCTAGGGGAATATCATTTGTGTGACGGTACGGCGCTTGGCGTAAAAAATAACATAAATATAGAATTGTAGAGCGGTTCGTTTCTTACGTGTTCTAGAAAACGGACTCCGGAAAAAGCTAATGCTTTCCAACGGTAGCGGATTTTCAATATTTTTCTGGGGAGGGTCCTGGAAAATCATATGTATTGAAAAAAGGGTTTCTCTATTATAGATGCCCCGATTTTGGACGATATCTTATTGAAATTATATCGGTGTCTGGGAAAGGTCCTGAACCCCTGGACCCCTCTCCCCACCCCCGTAAATCCACCAATGCCTCTCAAGACGACGAGTGTACCCATTCAAATGGATCACCTTGTATTGTAACCTGTGCCTTATCATATAGCCGATTGCGCGTCTACGTACCCTATTCCATCCTAAATATTACCGTTTGAGGACTCCTAGTGTTTTCTTTTCGCGTCGGGCGACTTTTCCATACGACATAAACATTATAATCTGCAACGATAAATTCCAATAGCATAACTAAGAATATAGATAAATAAATAGTCAAACGCAGCTATAATGTGAACCGCGGTGCATTCCGGTAAAATGTCATGGTCGGTATTGGTCATTAACACGCACAGTCTTCGCCCGGTGCTGGGCTACGTCAACGGCCTTTCGATACGACTGTACGAGATCCTTTTTGGAACAAATACATTCGCTGTACTAAGTAATGAGTGGGCCATGTTTCGCTCTTGGCCGCGCGTGCACGTCTGATTTTCTTCACGCCCGGTATTCTCCGTTTCTTCGTGTGGACTTAGCTGCGCATCACGCCTACAGTCCCAAGTCAGTTCAGACACTTCCGAATCTGCCATTCGTTTCCATAACCCGGCGATTGGGTTTCCGCCGGTTTCAGCCACGGGTTTCGGGTTTCGGAATCAGTTTCCATATTCCATTCGTCACGTTTAGACTCATTCGGTATTTTATCTCCAGCTCCGAGTGGTTCCTATAGTGACAATAACAATACGGCTATAAGTTATAATCTACAGTGCAATCGGCCGGCGGACTTCGGGAAACCGGAAATTCTAAATGTTCTCATGTGTACAGACTCGTTCGCGGCAACAGTTAGACCTTATAGACACGCAGAATCTTAAGTTTCGAAAAGTCCGAATGGTCGAAAACTTCTCAAGGTTCGCACGTACAAACGGGCCGCATATATGACGTCCGTCACGAAAATGATTAAATGCTAAATGATTAGCAGCGAAATATTGGTATGGGTTTAGAGTGGATCGGACAAAGTCGGGGCGGCCAAATTCGCGGACGTGTAAAATATCGAATAACATCGACAAAAGAAAAGACGTCACGGTCTTCTATTATAACTAGTGATGAGTATCGGCATAAAACGATATCGGATATCGCTTGTTTTTTTTTTCAGACCCCGATATTTTCTAACAATTTTTTTTTTTTCTCAATAAACGTCCGATTTCGATAATACTACAATATAACTATATGAAAAAAGCTGTCCTAAGATAATGGGGTCGGATGCAGTCACTGGTATGAATATACCTGTAAGCAACGACAAGCTCGGTTTTTTTTCACTTTTCTGAGACAAATCCTGGGAAAATCAAAAAATGACCACCCTAAAGTACCTTCCCAATCAGATTTCACTTTCAGAAAAATTGCTATCTAAATAGGAATTGAATGCATTTTTATACGAAACGATTAATCATTGCTAACGAAAATCGATTCTGGTTCGGTTACCGAATGAATATTACGTGAAAGACCTCGCAAAATTAAAATGTCTATAAACGGTTTTACCACGTCTAGAAGAAACGAGAATATAAGTTTTCTGTCGAATTCCCAGTCTCTACGAATGTTTTTAACAGAAATACATTACAAAAAAAAAAAAATTATACATTTCGTACATTTTCTCGTTTATCCCGCGTTTTTCTTCACGACCGTGGAATAACGGCCGCCTTAGAGTACCACCTCGGGAAAATTTCCTTTCGGAACACGCGCGACACTCGGAAACCTGGAGCGAGATTCCAAGCAGAATTTCCGTACGCGGTAAAACAAAATGTTGTGAAAAACCCTACGCGCGGTTTCGCGCTTCGCTCGGAATCCAAAACGGTCTTCGGCGCGTCGTCTACGTGGCGCGGTGAAAAACCGACGGATTTTTTTTTTTCTTCGATAATAAACGCGACCGCGCGACCGGAAACGGCCGTTGGACGCGGCGCGGCCGTTTCCTTTTTGGCAAATATCGGTTTTGTCCGGTTGCCAAACGCGAATCGGCGGCCGCGCGGCCTGCAGGCAACACGATACATAAGTCGAACACGTACGCGCGGACGCGTGTGTAAATATTAGCGTGCCGCGTGTGTTGAGCAGCGAAACCGCACGATCGAAAACCCTGAGCGCAACGAATGCGCGCGCCGGCCGGCGCGCGACCAAAGACATTCCCCGCCGGCGGAGGCGCTGCGGTCGGCGGCCGCGGATCGCGGTAAAGCTTCGCGATCGCGATCTATTTGCGCGCCCGCAGAGTGTCGCGCGTAAAAATACCGGCCGCCCGTCGGGCTGTACAAGAGCGGACGACACAAACAAACAAACGAAAAAAAAAAAAAAAAAAACGGCAACGAAAATAATAATAAAAATAAAACGATCCGAGAGACGGTAGTATTTATTTATACGCGCGTGCCGCCGAGCCGGGCAGAATTTTTTTTTTAACCGCGCGCGCTCGACGACGGCGACTACAACAATACGGACCGTCGCGTCGGTACCGATGCACGCGGCCGCGCGGCGAACTATTTCCGTTTGTTTCACCCGTAGCGAGACTCTCGAGCAGCGTCCGCGGGAGCGTGGCCCGTACGAAAACGGCCGTTTTTACCGGCAGGAAAAACGGGCTCACGGCGACCCGCGTTCCAGTACGGCTGCGGCGAACGCGCGGAAATTGTGCGGGCGAATGGACGGGAAAACGGCGCGAATCGTACGGGAACCTAACACCGATACCGGCAACGCGGTCGGTTCTCAAAATACGTTACGTTGCCCGAAGCGAAAGTCGAACGTTTAAAACTCGAATCTGAACGTTTCACCGGTATCGCTCGACGGCCGGCCCCGAAACGCGTTTGCCGTATGGTTCCTTTCCTATTGGCAATTACAAAAAAAAAATATAAATAAATAGTTTACGGGCGTAAACTATAATTAATAAAGAATAATAATAATAAAAAAACAAAAAGAAAAGATTTATATATGTAATAAATATGTGACGATCAAAACCCGAGATCGGGCCAGTCTCGGAAATGTGAACAATTTAAATTTACGGACGTTACAGTTGTGCCAGAAAAAAAGGTGTTTGTCGCTATACCAGATGGATTTGTCCGGGAATTGAGCCGAAATTATACGACGTTTTGCCCATGTACCGCGGACGCATCGCGTTTTGCCCGGGGCGTTTCTGAAATTCGCACACGATTTTGTGTATAGCGCACGTTGTCACATTCGTATCGAACAATCGCACACGAAAATATTTACAACAATCGCACGGCAATCATTAATCGTTTCCTCTCCTGCGAAAACCGTTCGGTGACGATCACCGTTCGGACATTCACACCGGTATCTGTCGACGCGTGTTGTAGACGGATAGTTGCCCCAGTTAAATCGCCATCGCTACTTTTCGGTAACGCCGGCACAAATGCCTGAGAAATAATAAATAACGGCCAATAGCCGCGATTGAGTGAGCACGGCCGAAAAGTCGCCCCTCAGATACGCCGCCGGTTGTGGACGAAAAGTCGGGAAGGTAGAATATATAGAGGGGTAATGAACGTACGTCCGTACTCGCCGACGGTCCGGATCGAAATTTCCCCCTATATCGCGTACGGTTTTCCTAAATTTACCCCCCCCCCCCCGGGGTTTCACACAGTTATTCGTGAAAATCGCTTGGAAATCGAAAATCGATCAGCCCCGTCGAAGCGAGTATACCGGTAGAAAACGAATAATGAAAACAAATCGGAAAAAAAAAAAAAAAAAAAATCAAAAAATCGAAACTATCGATCGCGGCCGAAAATCTGGCGTCGGTTCTGACCCTGTGCAATCCGCGGCAAACATCAAGTCGACGTTACGCCGCCGCGCATTGCGGCCGCCGTAATGTTTCGCAACGCGATTTTCATAAAATTAGACCGCCGTCTCGCGAAACCGTTCCGATGTCGTCCGCGTGTGTTGGGAAACTCGTCGCCTCGGTCGCGCGAGAACGCAATAGTTCGTCGCAAACGTTATTCGCGGTACGGCCGCTCGCCAACAAAACGCCCGTACTGCGGCGTCCCGCAATCGATTCAGGGTTAGTGATTTTGGCGCGGATCGATTCCGTACGAGAACGGCACGGTACGCTGCCCGCGTGCGCCGGCAGAAATCCGTCTAGGGGGGGGGAGGAGTGGCGAAGGAGGAGAGTAGTATGGAAAATAAAAAAATAAAAAAAATGAACCAATATTTTACACATACATAACAATGTGCCGCTGCGGGTTGTTCGTTCTCGGAATGGTTCCGTCGTCTCGTTTCACTTCCGAACCGATCGACGGATCACCGAATCGTTTGTTTGTCCGCGTGTCGATTCAAACGCCGAAACGGGCGATTCTGCGTGTACGTGACCGCGTCAACGTCACAACTAAAACTGGATTGAGGGGGGAGGAGGAGGGGGGGGGAAAGGACGGCGATGGCGGCGGTGTAACTTAAATCCAAAATAGGCGGCGCGAAGCGCGGCGTACGAGATTATCGAGCACATAACGAGCTGAATGCGCGTTGACGAAGGAGTTGAACCGGAAACGGGTCCTGACGGAAAGTCACGGTCTGGAGCTCCGAGAGCGGGGAAGTGACGGACGGGACGTCGGCCTGAACGCGGCGAGAACGGTGGGTAGGTATGGGACAAGGGCGGAGCGGACAAATAGCGCAGTCGTGCGGGGGGGGATTCTCCGTTCGTATTACTTGTGAGAAGGCGATTCCGCCTTGTGTTTCCGTGTGTGTTCGTCACGCATACCGCGGCGTCCAATCGTCCGTCGGTTACGGGCCGCGGATCATAAGGGCCCTCTCCCCACCCACCCTTTTGCCCGCGTAGACGCGCTGCGCTCCGCGTAAACGAATCCGCATACTGACGTCGCGGGCCCATTGCTGTTTCAGGAACACTTGTCCGGCCACGAGATGATGTTCGGCGTCGGCGGCGGCGGAGACATCAAACCGTCCATGTCGGTCGGCGGCGGCGGCGGCATGTCGGCGTCCATGATGGCCAACTCGGCGGCCGCGGCCGCCGCGTACCACCAGCACCACCAGTCGCAGTTGATCGGCGGCGGCGGCGGCGGCGGCGGCGGCGGCGGCGGCGGCGGCGTTCTCGGCGGATTCGGGTCGCCCATCGGCGGCCGGCCGCTGATCGGCACGGGCGGCGGAGGCGGCGGCGGCGTCGGCGTCCTCGGCAACGGCGACCACCACCATCACTTGCAGCAGATCGCCGCCGGGCACCCGGCCGATCCTTCGCTGCTGCACGACTACCATTCCTTATGACAGTGGGTGTCTGGCTACAACGGTGGCCAGCAATAACGATAACGCGATGTGTGATAACGATAATAATATGCGATAACGATAATTACGTTGTTGTTGTTGCGTTGTTTTACGCGATGTTATTTATTGTACACGCGCGGAACAAAAACGATACCGAACGAACGGACATTCACCCTCTCCTCTCACAGCCCCTCAACACCCCCCCACTACCCTACCCCC